AACACTAGTTTTTAGTTAAAACTCGTTTTCCCTAGTTAAAAATAGTTTTTACTAAATGCCTTTGTCAAAACTAGAAATAACAAGTGAAAACTAGAATTTACCACTGATATAATTCATTTTAAGCCTCGCTGAAGAGACATTTGCAATAATAATACCTAATTCAAAAATAGAACTGAAATGCATGTTATGACATAATATATTTGTATTGTTGTTCGCAATGGCGTAAAGTTAAAGCAAGTGAGGCATTGCAACGTGTATATTCTCACGCCCCGAGGCTTCAATGCCAGTTTGTTAATCTCTATTTTGTTTTACATCATTGTATTTTGAATTTTCCATTTTGCATATTCAAAGCTTTGTTTAAAATTGGTTATTTTAGTGGAAATATTTATTTTTATCAAACTGTGCAAAGGACTTACCATTTTATCGATTTGTGTGAACACCACGTTGAAGTAGGGTACGTTGTTTGTTCTATAATAAAAAAATAATGTTTTCAGTGTATAACAATATTAAATTTCAGAGAAAGACATGGAAGAAACCTTAAGTCTCTATAACAAAAATAACCACTGGCGGTACAACATCTAGGTATTGGCCATAGATTTCTGAATCTGTTTTGTGAACATTTTTCTTTCTTAAATAAATTATACATGATTTACTCACGTTTCAAATAACGGGTGATAGTACGTAAGCCCCTGTTGCAGGTCAATTTGGACTAGCGTGATGAGGTTGACTAGGTCTTCACCGCGTTCTGACTCCGTATCTTGGGCACACAGCGCGTCGTACCATTCAGCTGTTCCCTTTCGAAGAGCTCCTACTATTTCACTTCTGTATACAAATTATTTAAGATGAAATCAAAAATATTTGTGAGTAATAATAGTATAAACTATAGGACATGCTTATTACCATAATCAATGCATGTTATAATTATTTCTCAATGTTACGAATGCATATTTAATTTTTGGCTATATTTTTAGTTAGTGTAGTTTTACACTACAGTAATGACAAGGCACCAAAAAAATAAGACAAGTAAAATTACAGTATTACGCCGACTACAACTGCTATAAAGCACTTGGAACGAAGAAAAGAAAAGAGGATTTATTTAAATATTGCTTTTGAGGTACTAACACTAAGTTAAACTTCAATCAGAACGGGTACACAATGTTAGCAAAATCATTACGGAGTTTAACTTGAATGAAAATAAAGGGACAATGAAGATAAATAACAGGTTTCTAAGAAACCGTTCAGTCGCAATCTCCGCCGAAATAAAGATTAATTTAGATAAACTCGTACCTTTGAATCCGATTAATTTGTGGTTCCAAGGTTTCGCCTATCTTTAATTAAAATAGTGTATTATAATATCCTCGCTAATATGGTTGCTTATTAACTTTATCCCAAGAGAACACGGTATCATGAAATTCCTTGTTCGATATTATCTAATTGACAAGTAAGGGACTTAAGCTTAATAAGCATAGTTTCGATCTTATCTTCATAATAGATATCTTACTGGTAGTAAATGTAAATTTATAATTAATTTAACTTTTTTTTGGCGTTCATAAGTGTACTTGTTTACCTATATAAATAAAGATATTTTGAGTTTGAGTTTTATCAAATTTCATTTATAATTTTGTAGTGACTAGTGTGCTAAATATGTCAAATCAAATTAAAAATACATAATTATCTAAAATTTAAAATTCTCGTGTCACAATGTAAGTACGTTTCCATACCCGAAACGGCTCGACCGAGTCTCATGAAATTTTTTATGCATATTCAGTAAGTCTGAGAATCGGCTACTTTTTATCTTTCAATCCCCTAAATGTTAAGAGTGGTCCACCCCTAAATTTTAAGTTTAATTTTTTAGATGAACAAAAATATTTTTATTTTTTTATGATACACCTTACAAAAATACATACAACCCTTACATTTCACCTCTTTACGATAAACCCCTATTTTTTATTTGTTAATTAAAATCTTATGACTGGAACTCTGAGGTTTATATATAGAGAAAAATTCACAGAAAACCCCAAAAGTTTTCATTCCGGAAAACCGAACAGTCTCTGGGGTAGCATAGCAAAATGTTCGAAGTTGGTATGTACTAAAAAGGTAGGCTAAGTAAAATCACATTAAGGAGAAACGAAGTTCGAAGTTGGTCCTCGCGAACTACTAAACATACCTTTATAATACAAGTTTGGTAATTATTTTCTTAATAAACTACTAAAGATAATAGAAAGAAAGAGAACATTTATTCACCCACATTACATAACATTCCATTTCACATTCTTACCTCTTAAGTTGATTACTTATTAACAATATTCAAAGAGACAGTATAAAAATAGTATAAAAAGAATTATAACTTTGGTATGCAGCAAGATTTTCCGATTTTCAATGCTCCTTAAGACAGGTTGTTGCGTTTTTACATTTTAAATCATAATAAAATGTGAAACAATTTTTAATTATAATGCGAGCATTTTTGTCGTGCCTCACGTCTCAATTCACTTACCTCATTTCCTTGCTAAATGGACAGCAACGCCAAAAAGCTTTCATCTGCGACAGCTGGTTCAAACACCGCAGGAGATATTCTAACCTGTTAATGTTACAATTTGTCTTAGAAGTGTTTTTAATAATAAAATAATATAAAAGGGGCACAAAATCACTACCCCTTATTCATACCAGTATAAGCTTCACATAGCTACGAGTATGGTATGTAACTTTATTGTGTAGCTTATAAGTTCATCCAAAACACGGCTACACGGTCTAGTGGTCAGTACCCCTGACTGCGAATCCATGGGTCCAGGGTTTGATCCCCGGCTGAGATAAACATCGATGTGATGAGCATTTGGTGTTGTGCTTAGGTCTTGGGTGTTTAAATATGTATTTATATGTGTTAGGTCTATCTATGTATAATATGTATGTATATCCGTTGCCTAGTACCCATAACACAAGCTTCAACAGCTTAGTATGGGACTAGGTCAATTAGTGTGAATTGTGCAATTAAAAAAAAATAAATAAACACAAACACCACTTTTAATCAAAGAAAATATATCCCTCATATACCCCTCCTACCCCAACAGCGACCTCCGTCTACGAATAGACCATTTTTGATCAATGTCATCTTATTTGTCTATGGATTATTAAAGCATAGGCTTTGTATGATTAAGACAAAATGACATTTCTACACATATGTAACACCACTTTAAACTGTGCCTTTTCTACAAATATTTAGAACCATTTAGACTTAGTTGAACAATGTGTATTTATTAACTTTTATTTTCCTTTAAAAAGATGTTTTACTCTTTCCAATCCAATATTTGCGTAGGATGTTGTTCAGCGAGCTTCATTAATACAGTACCAAGTGGAATAATCTGGATTATAAATAAGCAACAACAATCCGTTGCAACTCTAATTGGCGTTGCTTCAACAGTTTCTTAGGACGGATTTAATATTAATTAATACATTTCATTTATGTATAAGTTGGCACGTGGATTTCGTGTTTTCCATGAATACACATCATATTCAGGAATTACACTTATGGTGAATATCATTTTGAGTACTGAAGGAGTGTAAGAGTCTTTGTTTTTTAAGTATAACATTTAAAGCATTGGAATAACAAACACCACATTCACTATTTCGTTCGTTATTATGGTAAACGTCGTATGCCTTTTTACATATTATAAAATACTTCGTAATAATATAATCGTGTAAATTGTTTTATTGTAAAGACAAATTTATCCATCTACCAGTAGCTAAAGCCCAGAAAAGAAATGTGAATAGTGAAATTTATAGAATATAATAGGTGATAATTTATTTATTTTAAACTAGATGAAAACTCGTTTGACTGTCACAATTTCATAATAATTATTATTCGTTAAAATTTAAATTATAACGAGCGGTCACGTTCGTTGTCACGGGACATTTGTTGATCCGCAAAACTTCGGTACAATTTCAAAATTTTAATGATACAATAAATAGTTACAATTGTGGTATTTAGTCACGTTTTTATTATTTTTTTTATTTTATTAAGCGTACACATAGAAAATTATAACAAAAATCATAACGCTTACAAACAACTTACTTATTCAAACTTAGGTGATGAAGCACAGGGTATAGATCCCGGTGAAGCCTTAGCTGGTGTAAGGCCCGTTCAACCAACTCGCCAAAGCAATCAGCTAACCAACGCTCTTCATCTCTAGATGCGCACGTGCCGGCATCACCACTTCCACTTCCGACTAAAGCCTCGCTGGCGCACCATGCTCTTTCCAGTTCGTTGAGCAGTTTGAACATATACCTATAGATTTTTTTTAATAAGATTTGAAAATGGAATCCTCAAAAATATTAATATTAATTTAAAAAAAGAACACAAGGTTTTGCATTTGTTTTTTCTTTATCTCTTTAAAGAGGTGCTCTACCTATGGCAATAGTGTTTAAAATTGTATATTCTGATAAAATAAAGTTTATTTATAAAAACAAATATTATTATAATAAGTTAAAAGTCAAAGTTCTATATCATGTATTTCTTTCATAATATAATATATTTAATTAGTCTTTATATAAAAATCGAAATCATATAAAAAAAATACAGTGTAATTTTAGGTCTGGGCCTCAGATTTCTGTGCGCGATACACGTCGCTACTTTTTGATCCACTAAGCCGGCTTCGAACCTACAACATCAGGGAAAGATGTCGCACGATATGCCCCCAGGCCGAGCAGTGTTAGAAATCATAGAACTTTAGTAAGATAAAATACTGTTTATAAGTATAAGTGAGATGGTGTAAATAATAATAATGTTCACATTGGATAGTAATAAACAGTAATAACCCTAGCGAAAGGCGTGATTCCAAGTTTCACCAAGTTTCAGTCTCTTAATAGCTAACACCTGGAGACAAACTTCGAAACTTCGAAGTCCATATCATTCTACGTACTTCAAGTTGATTTCATACGCTGCAAACTTCTGATTGATATTACAATTATTAAAGCTTATATTAGTTGAAATTCAATTTTTATTATACAGAAAAAAATAAAACTAGTAGGGATATATGTACAGTGGGCACGTGTATATTCTAGTAATCGGACGTCGGATCCGCACCATCGGGTTATGAGAGTTATGGAATGGAGTTTCGGTTTTGTCTACGCCCACAATAGTGTCTTCATGTACATGGCCCGTTACAATAGAGCTTAGCCGTTATGGTCGAATCTACGATAACTTTATTTAATTTTATTAGCAGTGACATAAAAATACTAGTTAGTAGTTAGTAATAGTTTGTTCATATAAAAAAAATATATTGATCAGTGGTTCAACCTTTTTCGGCCTGTATCTGTTTCATGATCATTTGTCCTTCTAATAGACAAGGAGGTGATCAGCCTCCTGTGCCTGACACACACCATCGACTTTTTGGGTCTAAGCCATGTCGGTTTCCTCACGATGTTTTCTTTCACCGTTCGAGCAAATGTTAAATGCGCACATAGAAAGAAAGTTCATTAGTGCACAGCCGGGGATCGAACCTACGACCTCAGGGATGAGAGTCGCACGCTGAAGCCACTTTGCCAACACTGCCAAAATTCTATTGTTCATGAAGTAAAAAAAAAATTCATCAAAAAAATTGTTAGCAAATTTACCTGTGTGGCTTTAACGTCAAAAACAGATGAAACGTGCCTTCATAAACACTGTTCGATTAATTATACTGAGGAAATTGTATTGTAGATGCATTTACGCCACCAGTAATGCAATATACGAGAACAAAGCCGCTCCAGCGGGCATGCATTCACGTGATTCAATTTCTGGATCACGTCGATTCATGATTAAATTAATTCATGGCAGGAAGCCGATGAAAACAGCTCATTTATGGAAGTTACTGATAAACATGAACAACAGTTATTTTAGTATCCATAAATGTATTTACTTACAAACGTATGTTTGGAAAATACATGTTTTGAATTAAATTTGTAATTATTAACTACTTTGACGTCAGTATTTTCACATGCTTAAGGTATGTTTTTACTATTCAATAGCTCTCCATTTTTAATAACGAATATTTTTGAATTGCAGTTTAAAATTTACTTTTAAACTTTAAAATAATTTTTTTTTATTTATTTTAAAGTTAATTCCTTAAAATTAATTCACCGGAGGCATACGCGGCAATCTTTGTTTTAGGCTTTTCACCGCGCGAACATTTCAAAAAGCATGATATGGCCAAATAACGCGGAGAACGACTTATTCTGTATATACTGTTAAAACAATTGAAAAACTTACTTGGGATCAAGAGGAGCCTCGCTGTTAAGTCTGCAAGCTGCTGCAAAGCGAGCAATCGCTGCCTGCAGGGAACTCATATCCCCCTGTACGGCGTGCTGATGCAACAATGTTTGAGCTGCCCCACAAAGATCACCTTCCCACGCGTGGCTGTCACTCTCAGCGCCCTCACATGCAATATTAGCCGCTGTTTCAACTTCGTGGGCAAGTAGAACTCCAAATAGGCGCTCATGTTGACGTACCTTTAGAGGATATCATTTTGAGTTCCAAATTTAAAAGAAAAAATCAGATACTTTTATTTTGAAGTTTTTACACACTTTTCAATATTCTTTTTTATTATCCTCATTTGAAGCAGCTCTTAAGCGAAGGCTACTTGTTACCTTCCAAAAACTGTACTGTAGTATGTTTATACAACAAAGTGTGTGTTAAATATATAATGATTATATAAAAAATAAACATTTTCTGATCTTAGGGATATACATATAAGTAACTAGGTAACTATAAAATACAATATGTTCTACTTATTTATCACTTTCAACAAATAAAGAAACGCGAGAAAACATTATTTCATTAATTGAGGCTTATGGAATACTTTCTATAATACTCCCTTCTTACTACTTATTGCCTAGTAGATGTCTATTTTATCGATATTAATTTTATTTGAATTTACTAATATAGAAATATATTGTCGATTGAATAATATGTAACAACATGCTAGAATTCTGAAAATCAAACGATTTATAACGCATGTGCAATTAATGACTGTGAATCATTGCACCTGTATCTAGACTTCATTAAGTTTTAAATTACACCGGCACGCTACGCTACTTTGATCATTGACGTTTCGTTTAGTTCCTCTTTTAAACGCTCGATTCACAGGAAGCACCAGAAAGTCTCGGAAATAGCTGTTCCTATGTAGATTTGTTAATAAGGATTTACTCAATATTGGTAATACATTGAAGCTTTAACATTAAATATACTCATTATGATTTAATTGCTATTTATTCATATCGTAACAGATTGGAATTTGATAAACATTTCTGCAGCTTCATATATAACGATTTTATGTTTATAAGTAGGTAGTTATTTTCAGCGTGTCAATCTAAAACCATTAATATTTCACTGAAGATCGAACAATTAAATAATACGCTATGGAAACATTTTGTTTAATAACAAGACTTCAACTCATTTTCCTCCTTAATATTTGATGTATATTTTTGATTGACTTTTTTATTATATAACAGTTTTCCCAAACTGGCAGGAGGCTCAACTGCTGTTAAGTGACGCGAATGGGACGCGCTCAATGCCAGAGGGCTCGCGAGTGCGTTGCCAGCCTTTGAAGAATTGGCACGGTCTTTTCTTGCAAGACCCTACGTCGAATTGCTTCGGAAATACTTCAGAGACTTTTGAGTAAGCAATTCTTTCAGTAAACATCTTCTCTAGTTCCAATCAATAAATGGTAAGATTCGATAAAAGTACTATAAATGTAATTTATTTTCCGTATGGCCAAGAAAAACTCTACAGCATAGATTATCCAAAATTTTAAGATCTACCCAAAACGCCGGTCCCATTGAATGTAAAGTGAATAAAGTACGCCAGGGGAATGAATTGGATTTATCGTGTAATCGCAATTTCGCTTCACTCGCTGACTCACTTATTACGCGAGGCCAACGATGTTCACTCAGCGGATATGTTAGGGCGGCCTGGGAATGACATTCAAGATGCCATCTGTTATCATTTTGCAAAGGAAACTCTTCATTTGTTTAACTTATATAATTAATATGATTCACTTGCAAATTCTGCTTATCTGTACTAATATTTTATATGTGAATGTTTGAAGAAACTCAACTTGTTCGATTTAAAAAAATCTTATACTATTAAAATGCTACTGCCGGACTACTATAATTTTACTTTAGAAACATTAAAAAAGTCGTTGCTATTAATTTTATATTTTGCACTTTTCACATTAAGAGCTCTCAATACCTGGTTGCCTGAAGGAGCTCATGATGCGAATATGTTTTGTTTATTCTATAACTTAAGTAAAATTAATGATTTATGCTTTCAACGCTTCCATAATTGCACAAGAGCTTTTGTTTGAATGTTTTGCGGCTCATAAAATTATTGACACACGAATGTGCGCCAATGAAGTATCGATCGATGTTACATTTATTACGAAAATGACGAGAATGTGAAGCGTCGCAGTCTTTGCAATAAGCCAGACATAAAAACGCAATTAAACTAGGTATGTGCTTAATAACATAATGGTACTTCAAGGCATATTGCCAATCTGCTAAACTACTGCGTAAAACTTTTATAGGCCTCACGCTGAAAGCTATTAAACCGTATGGCCCCAGGTTATGTGCGGTCAACAGCTTTTTATGTCGAACAATCAATCCTCACATTATTCTTTGATAACCTACGTATTTCAACTACTTGTTGAATAGCATTAAATAACAGGTTGTTTATTACTTTACTTCGCACGATAGAATAAGTCTAAGATACGTGGGGGCGGCCTAATCACGAATCTCTATCTCATTTAATTTAGATCAAAAACTGAATTTCAGTGAGCACACGCAAACAGTTGCCAACAAAGCTAATAAAATGCAAGGTTTCGTATTAGGGTCCTCTTCATCCTTTACAAACGATTAAAGTACAGCCTTGCGATCCAACCAATCCTTGATTTGAGCGCGACCGCCGCTGTGAAAACCGCTGTGTGAGTTCGAAAAGTGAGTTACAGAATCGCAAGGCAGTAACTCTTTACAAATCACTAGTCCGTAGTATTTCAGAGTTTGCTACTGTAATCTGCACACCACATTCCAAATGCACATTAATACTATTGAAACAGTTCAAAAACGTTTCCTTAGAAAGCTTTACAATCGTCGACACTTGCGTGGTCTATTGCGAACGTACGAGGCTCGTTTGGATTGTTTCAAGTTAGATACTCTAAAACTCCGACGTGACTTCATTTTTCAGTTTATTTGTATAAAATATTTAACTTTATACTCATCCTAGAGTTACTAGAACTAAAAGTCTTCTATACGTACCTACCTGGTCCAGTTCATAGACTATCTCGCTCTTACAACTTGATTACTAACATTGATGAAAATATTGATATATTTTACAACAGTCTTCCAACTCACCGTAACTTTGTTTATAATGCTCTAAATGAAAACCTAATCATTTACTTTTAGTTATTATTATTATAATTTTGTATAGTTGCTTGTTGAATTTTTGCCCTTGCTGGCTTGCTTGTGTTCTAATAAAATTGATGTGTATGTGTGTAAAATTTGTGATGTCATATTTTCTGGAATAATTTTATGCATACACGTTGTTTTAGAACTTATAAATAAATAGATAAATAAAGAAATTTTGTACAATTGTAAAGAAGTCTAGTAGATAATTTGTAGATAATATTTAGTTATTTCATAGGAATACTATTGTCAGTACACAATTAAAAGTCTGCAATACACAATATGTAGTTATTGTTTTATTCTTCGGCACATAGATGTGTTAGAAGATTATGAAGTTAGCGTCTCTGTGGCTTAGTGGTTCACTGTGTGTAGTAGTGTAACTCGGAAGTAGGTGCTATATTCCCGGGAACCCAACAATTTGTTGGCACAGATAGCTAAGTAGGTAAAGTAAGTAGCCTGAAATGAAGTAATTGTCGTCGTAATGTTTCCGTCCTTAGAAATATAAATTTTCATACGTCAATCACATGACACAAAATAGTCATAGATTCATGGAATAAACGATGATGACGATATCATTCTTATGAACGATATATTCGCCTATCTAATCCTAAATCCTACTGTCTTGGAGTTTAATATTGGCGGAGACAGAAATGGTTTTTAAAATCTTGTCAAATAGCTTATGTTTGTTTTTGTCCAGATAGGTGAACTACCAAATAATAATATTATAGAAATTACTTTCTAAAATGTCGTATTAGGGCGATAGAGGACTTCCAAGATCTAATATATACCATTCTTACTTAAAACAAAATATCTGCGATTCACTATTTGATGGAAATAATATATTGTGTTATTATGTAATGGACAGAAGCTTTATACATTTAATATCTGCTTTAAACCGCAATGATAAATTTACTCTGCATATGCATTGACGTTCACCGCTTTTGTGTATTTTTCAATTTTCCCTCTGAAATCCGCGAATTGTTTTTCATTTCACTATCACACTGACACCGCAATATAGCTGCGCGGTTTTAGATAGAAATTTAAAGCTCGCTGACAATTTTCTAACATATTTTTTCCAGTTTTGTCGAATCAAGTTATTTTTTAATTTTACTTTTATAAGGATGCTCACCTCACATCTTTGCAGATAACAGAAAAAAATATACCTTTATACCATTGAAGATTGATTACCTTAGACTACAAGTTTCATCGTTGGACATCGATCAGAATACGAATTCCACCCGTATCACCTCGACATCCGTCGTTCCACAACTGGCCGATGTCTAAGGCACTTTTTGTCGCGCACCTCCACTATGTGGAACCAGTTACCCACCAAAATATTTCCGAAACAATACAACTAAGAATCCTTCTAGAACAGGTGTATTTGTTCTTAAAAGACTTTTTGGTAGTGTGCGTGTCCATAAGCAGTGGTATCATTTAACATCTACATCAAAATATGAATCACACTATTTTATGTATAACTTTAATCTAGACGATCAAAGAAATGAAATGTCTAAACATAACAATAAACGCTTGCTAGAAAAATGGAGACTAAATATACTCAGAGGTAAATAAACAGTGGATTACCTGTTGCCAGTTATCGTCATCGTGTCTACCAGCCTCTCTGGCAGACAGCCAAAGTCTAAGCCGAATACGGCCTTGAACAGATGAGCGTTGAGATCTAGCATCCAACTTGTACCACGCCTCCACTCCAGTAGATGGGATCTCTCGTAATGGAATGTTTACACACCCTACGAAGTAATATATTTTATAAATTGCACAAAACACAAATTTTATGCATTCTAATTTTTTTCTAAATTCACTAATGAAATTCGGCGTTGCGCTTTTAGCGCGGCAAATACAGCTGCTTCTTCAAATTAATGTTTGTAGTAGTAGTTGTAAGTATTTTAGAAATATATAAATTATTCACTATACAGGTTGTAGCGCAATGAACGAATAATAATGTACCCGTGGGTAGCCGTTGTAGCGGTTCAAAAAAACATTCATTTGGATTTTCTATTAACTGAAAACCGAGGGACTAACCATAAAACAAATTTTCATCAATTCATTACGCCACATCATGTATGAATAACCTTATTACAAGTTTAGAGGTAAGTAATATTTATCATGTATATTGTGATGGTGTTTCTTCTTTGTTATTTCTGTGGTTAGTTTTCAAGTTGTTAGTTTTTTAGAAATTCGTAAATATATTATCAATCTCTATTGGCGACCGTATAAGGTTAAAATAAAAGGATAATGAAAACTAACACCTTTGCAGCTATCGACTTCTTGACGAATGAATACCCAAGTACTTAAACAGAACATATATTTTCAGCATCAGTTAGAACTGTTTTAACACGTTTCTAAGTAAACCGTTTGTCTGAAAATCAAGCATCTATTCTGAGTCAATCCGCTGAGGTTCAGATGTGCACTAAGTTCTGCGTACAAAATTTTAATTGGCCTAGTTCTGAATGCAAATGAACCAAAACTTCTAACGTTAATGCACAATTAGCGTATTTTAAGGAATACCCTTCTAATGTTGATTAATAAAGATAATAAGTAATATTAAATGCTAAGTGTGTCTAAAACGCGTATCGACGCTTACTAATCTCAATGCCTATTAAAAACAATTCACAAAATTCGTGTAAAATTTTCATTTTAAGATAAAAAGAACTTCTTTGAGTTTCTCCGATCGTCTTTTGTCAGCTTAAATTAAAGTCGGGTAAGAGTAAAAAGAGAAAAATAATAAGTATAAAATCAAATTTATAATCTGCAAGGTTGGTTGGTTTGGTTTTTCCAGCTATCGGTCGGAGCCTGTGCCATCCGTACATGTTACAGTATAATTTCCCGTTTGACGTGAATTTCAAACGTTTTCCTGCTAAATAAATATTGGATCCGCGCTACCATCAATCTTGTTAAATCCAATTTTTCAATGCGCATTCGCATTTCATGCATTTGCCGTAATAATATTTCATAAACTTCACATGTATAGATATATGCATATAATATAAGATGAGAAAACAATGTATAGAGGGTAGTAAGTCGGTAATCGAGAGGCTGTTTGAAAGTATGAAAAATAAAGTGTTATTGAGACTATTCCGTATAAAACATTGCTTTAAAAATAACTTATGATTTATTTATCAAATCAATTCAAAATAATTTAATTTTCTTACATCATATGACACAAAATGGTCACAGATTAGACAAATCAACAATCCGTAGCTTGTTGTAAAATATGCGTCTTCGCCTATCTAAACCTAATATTTGGAGTTTAATTTCGTCGGACACTGATTATGATCGAATAATATATGTGTATTTGGGTAATTTAAGAATGGTAATTAAGACTTTGAAATTTAAAGTTTGTTTACGTGGAATGGGACGTCATAGCCAGTTCCTATGTCGTCCCATTCCACGTTCGCGACGCCATCTTGTTTAGAGAAGTGTGAATGCGCATTATTGAAATTATGAATTTTAAAACAAATACTTAACAGAGATAACAAAACAATTAGTATAGGTTCTATAGTCTCTAATTAATAAACTAAATGATTAAAGTCTTGTCATTGTGCATTAGACTATTAGAGACTGGCTATGGTGTCCTTTCTAAAATTATGTCATAATTCATCAACAAATCATAATTAAACAGAGTAATCTTCATACACATTGAGTTAAGGAAGTATTCAATAGACGTATCAACTTGTACAGTAACTGTTCCAAGTTACACATACTGATTACGAGTAAGACTACAACTTCCGTTGCCAACAGTAACTTCATAACGTGATTTGTAAATATGTTCGAAATACATTATACAGTCAAAACCGTTTATAACGACATTGAAGGGACCGTATAGTTGCCGACGTTATATCCGATAGTCGTTATAAGCAATGTCATATACACAAGTACAGTACATATGTATGTACATCGTTATATTATCATAGTTATCTATCTAGAACTAATACTATACTATACTAATACAATACTAAAACTAATTCCAAATCCTTACGGTTGATAACATTGTGTGCCTATCTTCCTGTAAGGAGACATTGACGAGGTATGTACTCAGGACTTATTATTTTAATATGAATTGTGTATCGACGGCCACCGAACCGTTCTTTGTGGTACATAATAAAACAATTATTAGGTACCTACTACAACATTCTCCTTTGATGACTGTGTACGTAATAAAATGCCAATATGAAAATGGGCACCAATTGGGGTACCTTTTCAGAATGTATTAACTCTTTTACAAATAAGTGATAAAGGTTTGTTTGGCCTCGTTAACAAATATTTTACTTTAATAATGTTCATTTAAACACGAATTGGGTACTTTGAATGTTTACACTCGCCTCGCATGTAATTGAGATTTAAATTGTGTTGCTGAATAAAGTGTAAATTCAATTTCAAATATAGAATGTTTAATCAGTACTATGATGTTCTTTGCATGCGCATAAATGGTATAAAAATCTATGGTCTAGTATGATAATAGATTTTCCCGCCTTTCACAGATATCTGTGGGTTATACCCCCCCAACTAGCTTCAAAATGCGAAGTAAATCAATATATTTTTACGGTGTTTTTAAAAATAAATTATCTTTACACGCCGGACTGTCATAGAGATCATGTTCGTTACTATAATAATCGTTGCATACTAACAAAATAAAATAAATAGAACTTGAAACTAACCAAGGAAATCATCCTGGCTTCCCTGCCTAGCGCTTTGGCAGACCTGCTTGAAGAAACGGCCCAGCCCACGAACACCTCGCACCTCATTAAGCCGAGATACTGCATCCAGGACTGAGCTCTCGTCATCATGATCCCAGATATCCAGGTGTAGAACATCCGATGATATATCATCTATATCACTGTGACAAACGAAAATTTAATTCAGTCCCACCTTAGGAACAAACATATTACTGCATATATCTTTAACGTGCCTCACAAATCGAAATACAGATGAAAATAATGTTTTACACCAATTTCTGTGTACTTTCTTTCCGTACAGTACGCGAAGATATAGTTATTTATTAAGTAACTAAGAAGACAGTCATAAAATATATGTTGTAGTAATTATAATGGCTTCTATATGCCTTAGAAGTTGCGGATATACGGATTTCAAAGAAAGGAAAATTGAGCAAAAAGTTCAGCATGAGTCTTAAAACTACGTTAGTAGTAAGTTAACTCTCCTGGTTAACTAACCTAACCAAAAAAGAGACTACCGATATCCATCACTTAATTATTAAGTATCTTGTTCTTGTTTATAAAATGGTGAATCTACCTACCTAAAAAACCTATAGGTAAATAAGTATTCAAAATTCCAGAATTCAGAGAGACGTAAAAAATGAACTATACTATTTTAAAGTTAAAGTTATTTAAAATTAAAATTCAATTACTCACAATTTGAATGTTTCATTCCACTTAGGCGAGAGAGTGTGAGGTCGCACACTTGTGGCGCGAATGTATCGAGCTGGCAATCTGTCGAGTAAATTGTGTTTATTAATTTTACGCACTAGCTACGTAGACATCGACCAATTTTATACAGAAGCCCTGCCATAATAATATTAATTATAAATTATAATACTTTTTATTTAAATTACTTTAATACTGTGATCTTACATTGCCTATTTCAGTTTTAGTCAAATATAGGTTGCCTGCCTAGTTCTTTAACATAACTTAACTGAACCACGCTCAACATTTGAACAATGTTTAACTAAATTTATTTATGAAATCGTATCGTGGGCCCCAATGTAATTAAAAATAACGATCACATTATCTAATATATTTTTTTCGTACTTTAAAAATAATTAAAGTAATACTACAAAGCAGATCATAAGCATCGGCCATTTTGTCTTTCAATAGGTAAAACCTAGGTAAGGTTAAAATTTGGAGATTTGTTTAAACTCCTCTCAACGTTGAATTTTGTTTATGAGTGAATTAAGAGGAGAATATCGGTAAGGGATAAAATGCGCTCAGTCGTAGTACCTGCCGAGACTGTCTCGTTGCTGGCGCCCGTCTCGCCGTTTGAAGCTCAGCCTGAAGCCATGTTTGCGACCTTCATCTTCCGACGCCCGGGGAGAAGCCGGCAGCGACGCTGGCTGGATACCCAGCATGCAATACGGGTCGCTGAAGCCTATTAACAAGAAATTATATTATAATTTAAATTAATTATATGTTATATATTTCTTATAACACATAACGTGAGAATTAGCTGAAAAATATTGATTTAAATTAATCGTTGACAAGTAACAATTTGAGCTGTCTTGTTATAATATTTCTGAAGGAACCAAAGCTGTACATTTTTTTTCACGAAGGCATTACTTAATTATAAATTCCGAATCAATTAAAATCATTGCAGTTATTCGAGACAAGACCGTTCCCGCCAGTGTTAATAAAATATTATCTACTTTTAAGACATATGTAAGAAAATACAAAGTTTTCTTGGGTCTTCTTGATCCATCTGGTCAATCACCGACCCTTCTTCCCGACCGACATTAATTTGATAACAAACAAGACTACTAAAACAAAAATAGTTTACGTCTATATTAGCTTCCAAATAAAACTTTCTTCATTCGTAAAGAAAATGCTTTATGAATTGCGAGAGTTGTAGGAAATCCCGTCATTACAAGAAAATTATGTTTGGTATAACTTTAGTTACGTATCTCTACTATTTATATTAGATTATTTATTATTCTAGTAATCAGAATGATTGATATTCAAGTCCCTTCGCGTTTTCATAAAATTTAAAGTATTCCCTCGATTTTTCTAAGCTCTCATAATTCTGCTCATTGCGCATCTGCTTTTATGATTCCTATGAGTATAGTACCTTGTAAAAAAAACAATTTTTCAAATATGTCCGGATCTAATCAATAAAAAACTTATTTTTAATGATAATGATAAGAAATAGTATCTATGCTTCCAACATTTTAATACCTCTAAACGTCAAATATAACGACGAATATAAGTTCATCGTAACTATGTAATTCATTACGCTAAAATTCCTTACAGTAATTTGCCTAATTAATAAACCTTCAAAGTTGATAGGTGACTAGGTGCTTGCTCAGAAATTTATAGGAATTTCTACCCCTCCGGGCTACACAAGAAAGTTTGTACCCAGATGTTTCATAATGAAAATTCGATATCCCAAGTGGGTAAGATTTTAAAACCACCCAACAACAAAAGCAAGTGTAGGTACAGTATATGCTTATTAATATCAACGTTTAAACATGACTAGAGTTGACAAGAGTTGACTAACAACTCCCACCTGTAAAAAAACCAATGGCACCTGTAAAAACAACCTTTTTAGATCTGGGCCTCAGATTTCTGTTTCTGATTCGTGATCATTTGTTTTTTGTAATAGTTAGAATAGTTAGGATCAGTCTTCTGTGTCCAACAACCCTTGACATTTTGGGTCTAAGGCACGGCGGTGTCTTCACGATGTTTTCACGCGCCCATAGATATAGAGTCCATTGGTGCACAGCCGGGGCTCGAGCCTAGGTCCTTAGGGATGAGAGTCACGCGTTGAAGCTACTAGGCCAACACTGCTCTAAACACCTAGCATATCTAGTAGAAAGAACAAATTCTTAAGGAACTTAATCAACGTTTTCTAATGGTAAAATGGCCTAAAAACCCTAGATTACCAAAAAAGCCTAAACCTCAAATGCCTATTGAATGTTTTGTCTTTATCACACTAATGTTACTTGGCGGATAAATGAAAACGATTTTTTTCACTATCTAAAGCTTACAAAACGTATTCATTACACCCAAAGACTGCTAACGTTGCACTAATAACACAGTTCTACAACACATATTTTTATTATCTGATTAGTAATAAATCAAAAAGAAAAAAAAATGACGAATAACAATTTAAGTTTTAAGTATTACAATTTGGTAATATTGCTTTTGAGGCGTCTCGCCCGCCCACATGCGCTAAGAACGTAAAAGCCAATTATATCAAAATAGCTCAAGTTGTTTGAAAACAAAAATATTTGTTTAAGATTTACTTGATGTCGAATAAATTTCTTCTTTAATAAAAATGTTCATCTATTCTTTCCAAGTCACGGGACGTCAAAGTTGTAGAAAAGTATATTGCATTGACGTCGGTGCAAAATATTACAAAAGAAAGCATTATTTATTTTATACTTATTTAACTTGAGGAACATTTTAAACAGTAAAGAGAATTAACGAATAAAAATACAGTGTTATTTAACTAGCGGGTTTAGTGAAATATGGGCTGACTTAAATTCATGAATTTGAGAACACGTTTTCTCTAAAACATTCTTCTAACTCTCCATGTAAATATCCCTATTTGACCCTAAAAATATTTTCCGTTATAGGGAAACAACACGGCTGCATCATTTCGAGCTTATAATTGATTTGTATTTTAGAGCCCAATTCTAAGATATAATGAAAATATTGAATTGTAATCTAATTTAGTCCGCTTCCATAGCTAAGTGGTAGTATATTTTAAAAAAACCAGTAGCGCTACAACCTTTTAAGTGTGGGCCTCTAATTTCTGTACCTGTTTCCTGATCATTTGTTTTTCTTAATAGACAAATGCTTTAGCTTTCTGTGCCTGGACACACGCCGTAGACTTTTTGGGTCTATTCACTATTGCATCATGCATGCCGGTTTCGTCACGATGTTTTCTTTCAAGCTGCCCACACGGCTGTGCAGAGCCGGGGAACCTACGATCTCAATGAGAGTCACAGGTTATAACTACTAGGTCAACACTTTATACAAGAGGTATACTTAAAGCGGAGATTAAACCATTCTCAAATAATATTCGAGATGGATAAAAACAAAAGACTGAAAAGACAAAAGACTGGGGTTAAAAGATTTCACGACTTCTATCTTAAATACATCACGTTATATATAAACTACTACTATTATATAATAATTTTAGAAGTATCAAGGGAATAACGGTTCACAAACTTGAGCGTCAGAGGCTGACAAAGTTTCAAAATTATTGTCACGTTTCGCGAGAAAAACTCAATTTCGTACAATTTAACACTATTGAGATCTATATTCGTAAACAGTTATTGTTGTTATATTAAATGATTTTAAGCCCAGCAGCTACAATTAACGAGAGAGCTTAGGATTACGATGTTCTAATAGAGCCTTTCAAATCAAATAAGCAATTAAAACTTATTTTGATATAAGCAAACTGCTTTAAAAGTTTTGTAATTATTCCTTGACAGATCCCTCGTAATACCACTCGATTACGAAACTATTATCACTGTTATTAAATAAAGCTATCGTGGAACATGCGTAAAAGGAGTATTAAGAATATCCAATAGGGTACCATCACTTTCACGCCATCACATAACACAGCCGAATTAGGCAACTTTTCTTAGGTTAAATCTATTTAATATTTTTTCTCAATTTTTTCCTTTAGTAAAAGTTGGAACATTTTCGTATATATTATGTATTCTATCATTGGCTATATCTATTGTATAATTGTTTCTGTTATATATAATTTATGTTAGATGTACGAAATAAATAAATATAAAATACACGCTTTCTTCACTTTAACATTTTCGTAAATGGGAGTTTTTAAAAATGAACCGAAGGTTTCGGGCTAGTTAGCAAGGTTTAGGCTACAACTTAAGGGATTAATCACTAAACTATATCTGTTAACCTGATATATCAGTTACACAAAGTAAATGCTCACGTGACATAAGTCTACATCAAAGGTTCAATCAAAAAATCTTCAGCGTAGCTTCACTACGAACAATTAATTTTTTTTACACACAAATATACTATAGATGGATATTCCAACTTACCATTAGCGTCTTTAGCTTCAAGCCCATCAGCTTCTATAACAGCGCAGCCCAACACTACGGTAGGTGGACGTTCACTGTCTGCAGCCCTAAGTGCCCTGGCGTGTACTTCTGGTGACACGCGGAAAGCCCGTCTGGCATACTCAATCACCTCTTCCTTGTATGCTGCAAACTGACCGCCTGGGGCTGGTGCGCCTACTGCGTTCTCGATGCAGTAAAGGACCTATGAAATAGCAGTATTTAAAACATACTCGTAATGTATTTTTAGTTTTAGTTGTACTCGTACTACGTCATATGGCATTGGGTAGGCATGTGACAACTTGATTAATTCGAATCGGATCTAGTCCATCTACCGGAGATTCAATTTCATTCTAGAAAAATCAGGATCGCAAACCACATCTAAGTACAATGTAATGTAGGTATACGTTATATTAACCACCCAAGCGAAGCACAATATGAAATATTTGTTTATATTTCAAATGAAAAGGACAATTAGAAATAGCACGCATGTTTGTATTTTAATTAACATTTGAATTTTAATTAATGTTTGCTATTAAGTTATTGCATTGCATATATCAAGGGCGTTAAATATTTAGAACAATTGTTTTGTAGATATAAGTAGACTTAATTTCTCATCATCAATTTTGTGGAGAAGAATAAATGGATGTCATGGATGGATATTATTAAGTAAACAAACCTTTTTTATGTGAAATAAATCTCAAATATTATATTGCAATTTCATCCGATTTAGTACAATAAAAAGTGTTTTAATTAACAATTTAAGTTTCCTAATAAATGCTAACCATAAGATGTGTCCTAGTTGAGATGTCATTAAAATACTAATTCTTATTTTTGGGCGTAGATAAGACACATTGTTTTTTGGTTTTAAAGCTTTTTATAATCAAAATCGGTTATACAACGTTGTTCCATTTACAAAGTGACAACGCTCATAAGAACAAATTATTCAATAGCTACATTAAGCTTACAGTATGTTTATAAATAAAACTGTAAGGAAAAACGTACATGTTTCAAAGAAGGAAAACCAAAATTCTTAAAGAAAAACTAGGGAAAACGTTAAATAATAACACTTCGTCGCATCTGTGAACCCGCATTCTTTACATTTACGATAATGTTATAGGAATGTAACTAGTATATTTGGCAGACAAACAACAAAGTTAGAATGTTATTGTTTGTTTGAACACTAATTTATAACAAGTAAAACACAGAAATAACTTACTAATTCATCATTTCAAGACTACATATCTATAGGTCATATTTAGTTTTAAAAACGCACTACAATTGTATTCTGTGGATTATGAAATATTTTTATAGCTCTTACCTAGTAAAAATTAAAAATTCTAATTTTAACAAAAAACATGTTTCTGTATCTAAAACAATTTAACTTTGCATTAATTACGAGAATTCGAAATACAAATATTGAAGTAAAACTCAATTCTGATTAAATTTATTTTTAATGAACAAAATTAAGAGTACTCTTTAAATCGGACGAATAACAATTCTATTTACCTGCTTCTCGGAGTAGGAAATTGATTTGAGTTAAATTTTGCATCCGTTTAATTGAGAACCACTACCAGGACAGATTGTTTACTTTTGGAATTGATTAAATATATTAATTACCAATAATCATATTATGTTTTATTGTTGCTGTACACCATAATAATTTATTTTGTTTACTTCTTATAACATATCGACTTTGCTCCCTTTGGAGTAGAGACTCTTGGGCCGTGGGATTTAAGTGCACAGGTTATTAAAGATTTAAGTTGGCGTCTGGTAGATAGTACCGGTGACCCCAGAGCTGGTGCTTTCCTAGCTCAACGAATAAGTATCGCAATACAGCGAGGAAATGCTGCCAGCGTTAAAGATACACTGCCATAGGGACCAAAATTTTTAAATTTGTTTGAATTTTCTTCATAATATTTTTTATTATTACTTTGTAGGTTAAGAAAATTTTGATTACAAATTACACGTATGATTGATAATTAATCTAGTATACGTATACCATAATAATTAATATCAGTCAGGAGAGTGTTCTGGAACAAATTTTATTTTTAATGTATAAGCACATTTGGGAGCTTTTAGTAAAAGAAAGTAGGAGTCACATAAACGTAAAAATATATAAAAGAATACACGATCTATGTTGTATTGTGTTCAGTGTTAGTTAGTATAGTTTAGTGTGTTAGTTAATATAGTGTTGTTTATGGTTTTTTCGGCATTCAGTGTGGTTGTTATTAATATATTAATAATACACTCATATTAAACAGAAATAATTTCACCAATTATTACATTAGACATTTTTCTCGAAAGCTACGGTATCAACAACTTCATTATATTTGTTGCCAGTGACGTATTAGCCAAGTTCACAGATAAGCAAATTCTAGCGCGCTTTTGAGAACCGCGCATAAATGTGCAAAATACAAGTGGCGCTAAAAAAATATGTTAAAACAAATATCGCAAATTAATTAGAAGGTTTTATGCCTGGACCTGAGATTTCTGTATTGATCATTTGTTTTTTCTAATAGGTAAGTAAGTGATCGTCGATCACTTCGTTGCATATACAGAAATATAATATGACATAATTAAATTTAATACCCATAAACTTGATAACTCAAAACAAAACCGGTGGAAAATATATCCGTCACGATGTCTTTAATAATATAAATTTGATCATTACTTAGAGTAAAGCGAAGTATGTACTAGTCAATAAGAAAACGCCTGACACCGGAGAATGTTTTCAAGTAGAAGGGCAACATTGCGTGATCTAGGGCTCTTACGGACGTGTAGTTATTGTGACATACAATTTCTTTAATGTATTTTATTCAGAGACTAGAGAATTCGTTGGCTTGGAAATATATACACCTCATATGTGGACTGCTAGTCAGTGCGTAATTTACAAAATCAAAAACGTTCATGATATAAATATGGATAATATCTATACTCACAATACCCCACCTTTTATAATTCTTCCCCACTATTTGGTTTTGGGCAAGTTCCTACTGTGAAGAAAGGAATGATGTGCGTTTCCTTCACCCTAAGGGTCTTAAAAACTGACCACTGATCAGCCCGAATTTGGTTCGTTGATTAAAATTACCTCAGTGTAAAGATGTTCGTGTTCTTTGTGCGACAGCTGAGCTGAGACGCTTGGTAAGCCAAGATCATGAGGAGCAGGCGGCGGACGTTCAGCTCTAGCTTCAGCCAAACGCAGGGCAGCGAGCCGTCGATTTTCTTGTCGCCAAGATAGAGCCGTGAAGCTTTCGAAGTATGATCCATCGGTGTCTTGAACCCTGAGAAAAATGAGCTAAGTTATTATACAAGCGAATCAATACCAGCTGAAGATTGATCTGTCAGTTATTGTCTTAACCCATAGTTAGTAACTATAATTTTTATTTTTATTTTTTTATTTACTTAAAAAAACAAAATGGACAGGATTTTTTAAATCAACAAGAAAGCCTAATCAAAAAAAAAATTTACACACGAATTATAAAACAAACATAATGAATAAATAAACTAATTACTAAATGCACTAACAAACAGTAGCACTTTTGTCAGTTCACTCAACGGACAATAAAAAAGGTCCGTTAATTGTTGAATCATATGTGCCCTTTTCAGAACGTTAGTCCTAACTGTGGCCACATGAAGTAGCAGTGGACGGTGTCGCCTTCTGACGTATCCATCGGGCACATTGAAGCTAAGGCACTGTAGTACTGCTGAATTACTGTCCTAGCCATGTAACAATTTTATTAAGTACGCAAGCACAAACTCTCGGCGTACTAGCCGACAGAACCAAAAATAAATAAGGTCGGATACATGAGTGGGTAAAAAGGGTACACAACCGTAAATATGCCTAAGATAGAATGTGCCTCAAAAATTTGTTTTGTACCCGCTCCAACATCAGCTTAAAAATAAGTTGAGATCCATAAGGAATTATGCTCCAAATGACTTCGCCAGCGATACTTCCATTAGTAAATTAAATTAATACGCCTTATTGTCAATATTATACTTGCTTCAAATGATGGGTTCTCATGAATTATGTTAATCGCATGTTAAAAGGAAACATTCAGATTTGTAACGTATAAGTGCGATCAAATATGTAAATAAATAAAATGTTTTATTTATTCTATAAAATATCTTGAAAATATGCGATTTACATATTTCTCAAAGGAATAATATGAAAATACTTTAACAAAAGATGGCTCCTATTCCTTGTTATCTTGGAGTTAGGAATAACGAGTCCAGAGAAATAACCGAATAGCGCAAATACTGTACTGAGAATATGTAGGAAATATTCAAATAAGTTTTACAAAATGTAAGCGCGCTAATGTTAATACATATTTTTTTATTATTATTATTGCTTAATATAATATAATAAGCAAAATAAAAATACAGAAAAATAATAAAAAAAAACCACTTAGGGTGCTTTAACTTAAACTTTGGTGCTTGAAGGGTTACACCAGACTATAAATTCAAATGAATTATAATGTAAGAGTTTAAAAAAATACAATTAATACAAAAATCTAAATGAAAATATGAATTAAATATTACTTATTACTAAGCAATCACATCCAGGTTGTCTAAAAAATACCTTTTAATTACGGTACCCTTGCAATTTTCGGGAGTTATTTTGAGATTTGAGGGTATACAATTAACAAGGTGCAGCACAATATATGAGCTTGTTCGTTTTCTGTCTAAATGATTACAATAATTCTGTCAATTACGGTCGTTCTCAGAGTTTCCAATTAGTAAACAGTTAATAAAAATAGTTTTAAATCGGAGGCTGAAAAGTCTCACTGTTACTTTATTAGTTAACATTTTTTGTTGTTAAATGAGTGATGTGATTCATATTATTTTATGTTTATTAAAATATGTAAGGCGGCGCCCGAGGCCCCAAAACTAGTGAGCCATACAAATATCTCTCAAAATAGCGATAACCCAGTCATGCGTTTGATTGGATCATAAGATTTGGAATCTCTATTCTTATTTTTAACTTATATTAATGGATTTTATTATTCGAAAGCTGTTTTCATAAGGGAATAGCAATTATGTCGTGGATGGCAAATAATAAAATATTCTCATGTTGTTTTTAGCTCATACGTTGAACGCAAAAGAAAAATATGTACATATATTAAAATGCAGTTTCTCTGATTTTTACATTCCTCTATTATTCTTGCATTCGCGAGTTTATTCATAAAAACCTTACAGAGCAAAATCAATATATCCCTGCCTCGAGAACTTTATAAATACACCGGTTATTTTTCAGATTCCAAACACAAGAGCTCCATTATTATTTTTTCTGAAATGCTCCACGCATTCTCTTTCCGTTCATAGTCCTTTACATTTTCTTGTTCATTCGTATTTCGTACACATCATACTTCCAATATATTATTACGTTTTATACAAAAAGGTTTTGGTCTTATTTAAGGTTATGCAATATATTTCTGATCGGTAAATGTAATAGGTTGAATACTTTTTGGGGATAAAGAGGGGCTTAGACAGATCCCTGTCTGAGAGATAAGGGATCCCCCTTATCTACCTGTTCGGTTAGGAGTATATACGCTTTGAAACAAACGTGGACACAGGCGATCTCTCATACGTAAAGATTAACTTGGGATTATATACAAAACTATAGGCAATTGCTGATCACCGTTCTTGACTCGCATTGTCATTTTTGCGTCTTTCATTTCACGTCGTTTTCTTCACCGGGCCGGTATTAATTGTGCATACAAATTAATCCATTGTGCGCCAATGAAAGTCGAATTTTCTGGCAGTAGACATATTTTCCTGTCA